CACACCGGTGGGCTAAAGCAGTGAACTATTTGGGCTAAAGCAGTGAACTATTTGTCTTTTGTCAACGTGACACTTTTTTACTGATTGGCCGTGTCGGGTGGTGGAGGGTTACGACACATTTATAAATAACGCGATCTAAACCCAAAAACGTTGATTATGAATGATGGGGAGGGCTACAGGGGAAGGTGAGTAGAAAACTGAATCCTGCTACCGCCACGCCCGATCCTCCCACAATTTTTTTTGACCGAGCCCGAGAGTGCCAACCGGCATAACCTCCCAATTTCTGGGATTGAGCAGCATCTCGATTTTTAATGCCAGTGTAGTGACATAGAATGGGTCACTACGGCACGTAGCGCTGGTTACTGACAGAGAGAGGAAATTTGGGCATAGCAGCCGACCTGCCAGCAGAGCATGCAATGCCACGGAGTGGGTCACTCGGGTGCGAGGCATGTGATAGGCCGGGGTAAGGGATGTGTGGCAAAGGTGACTAAGGGGACACGTGGAGTATAGCCCAGAACCTTCTGGTAGGTTCCAGAAGGGGGCGTGGCCGAGGGCGGAGCCAGGCCACGCCGGGCGGCATAAAAGGGAAGTCCCGGGGCTGGATGATGGCTGTCTGTCAGTGTAATGGAACCCAACGTGCTACGTGTTCGTCTTCGTCTCCGGCGTCGTGGGTCAGACAGCGTGCCGGCTGCTATGACCCGTTTGTAGTTATCCCATGTGTGAACAGTGTCTTAAAGTGTAGAATAAACGTGTGTTGCCTCCTACTATTAGTGTCTCAGAAGTGACTCACTACACAAGCAACACGCGCCCTGCCCGGCGTGCAATCTTCCAAAGTCACTGAGCCTCTCCATATCTATCGGTATTCACCAGATGTTACTGGTGAGAGCGCTCCATAATAACCCACGCCCCCCTCCCTCTGTTCATCGCAAATGTAAATGCCTGAATACAACAAAAAAAGCTGTTAAGATGTTCAAGCACCAATTAGTTGATACCTGTTGCAAGAAATCAAGTGCTGCATTAACCACACATTGTATTTGTAGCGAACATGTAAACAAACATGGCACTGATGATATACGCTATTTCGTTTGAAACCGATTCTTATTTTTCATACTTTGATTACTGGCAAAAAAAGGTCCCGAGATACAACAACAGCCGTTCACCTCCTCTCCCGGGCATTGTGAGCAGGACGCAGACTGTCACCAGCAAACGACCCAAGGCACCGTCCATTTTTTCCACCACGGCCCTGGGATTATAAAAAAAACAAGAGGTCAGGCGGGTTTTCACTTTCGTCGCGAGTCAAATTTTGTAATCCCTTGAGATTTCGCTATGGGAAACAAAATCCGTGCGAGTCTGCAGGGTTTCTCCTGCGTGCGAGCGTGGGTCTCTGTTTGAATCTATGGGTTTCTGAGAGTCTACGGATCACGATGTAAAGTAAAAAGAAAAGTACTTTTTATTTTACCAGGTGTAAGCCCCACTGAGCTCTTTGTCAGAAGCGACCCTGGAGATCACAAATGATAGTTCAACGAAAGTGGCTGATTTCATCATCACAAGGAAATTTATAGCGGCAGCCAAATACTCTAAATGGATGGTGATGCTGATTCTAAACATGGAGGCGAAAATTCGGAGGACCCGGAGAAAATTCAATGCGGCCACGAGGAGAGAGACATGCAAACTCTAAATATACTGCAGCAGGTATTGTCAGGGTCGGGATTGAATCTACGACTTCCTGTATACCCGGCGAGGGAGTTAACATCTCCCTAGCCACCGACATTTCACGTTGTTTTAGCGATAAAATTAGAATCTATATTTAGACTGGAGGAATCCGATTAGCTATGAAGCTCTCTTTTTTTTACTTACACATGTCCAGTATGGGCGGGTCAGCAAGTTACACGAGCACACAATGCAAAAACGTGACGGGAGTGCAAAATAGAGAAAATGCCAATAAGCGAGTCACTAAATCTAAATATAATAAATACATTCAATACATGAGCTCGATTTTATCGGAGCTTGGGCAAGGCAGCAAAAAAATAACAACGTTAAAGAGTCCCAGACCACACTAAGATAACGGCTTTCAGATGCTCTCCTGCGTGCCCATCTGGAACACAGCGCTTCCTTTTAAAGGATAGATTGACAAACTAATTTCTTTAAAACTGCTTGAATTTATTTTGTTCGTCACAATACTGGAATTGTAGATGTTGCAGTAGGTGGGTTCACTCTCCAGTACACCGATGTGCTGAACTAGTAACGAATTGGTATGTTTTGTTTACGTGACAAACCTTACTAATTGGCTGGTGACGGGTTTCACGACACATTTATATATTTACGCACTCTAACCCAAAAACCTCTATTATGGGTAATATTGGTCGCGAAAGCCTACAGGTTAAACACTAGTGTTGTGTATAGTAGTGTAGTGGCAAGTAGTGTTATGTATAGTTTAGTGTATCGTAGTGTTGTGTATAATATAGTGTATAGTAGTGTAGTATATATTAATGTAGTATATAGTGTAGTAAATTGTTGTATGTATGTGTTGAACTTCTTTCACACCGTAGGTAGCCATCCGTTGCTTATCAGAGGTGTGGGGGGGAAGAACAACAAAATAAATACAAGCAGTTTTAAAGGATTAAGTTTGTCAATATCTCCTTTTAAATGAAGAGCAGTGTTCCGGATAGGCGCACAGAAGAGCATCTGAAAGCGTCGTGCGATGATGCGGAGACCACCGTCTTTGTTTGACGTTTCACGGAAAGCTGCTGCTGCTCCTGCTGCGAGGTTTACTACACATTGGATCAGATACTCATTTGGGGCCGAGTCGACCTAGGGGAGGCCTTGAGTCGGTTAATTTCGCCCCTGGTGTTTGTGGCCGTGAGCGGGTATCGAACTCTGCCGGGTTGACAGTGCAGTGTATCGCTAATCGCTCCGCTACCACTCTCCACACAATCACACACACTCATTCACTCTCACACATTCACTCACTCTGATAAAACGGGAGAACGTACACGACTCTATACACTGAAAGGCGTGCCAGTGGAGAATTGGAGTTAGACCCCTTCTTGCTGTAAGGCACAAGTAAGGAAGTTCAAGAAGTTTAACACGTAGGCTTTCGCGACCAATATCCATAATATAGATTTTTTGTGTTAGATTTCGTAATTATATAAACTTGAGGATGATGATGATGCAGGCAGTGATGAGAGGGAAACTGGGTACTATTTGGGCACCACATGTACAAGGATGGACAAGAACAAGATAGTGGAAAGTGTGCTCAGAAAAATGGAAAGAACCGGTAACGGGAGGAAGACCTAACACACATTGACTTGACGGTGACTATTTAGAGATTGGTGCCAGAAAGATGTACCTATTAATTGAACAGTTAGGCACAAGACAAAGGAAAGTGGAAACAAATGATGAAATGTGCAGTTTAAACCTACAGGGATATCTGTCCATGGATCATGATGATGATGATGATACGACAATGAGAGGGAATTAAAACTTAAAAATTATAGTCATTTTAAATATTAAAGCGGAGTTGTGGTTGTGAATTAGGTGTGAGAGGCACCGCGTTCCATTCTGGTCCGGAAACTCATACACATCATAACTGGCCAGATGTTAACTCCATTGCGTGGTATACAGGAGGTCGTGGGTTCGATCCCGACAACGACGCCTGTTGTGTATACAGATTTTGCGCGTCTCTCTCTCTATTTTGTGGTCATGTAAATTTTTCTCCGGGTCCTCCAGTTATTTTCTCTCCAAATTTAAAAACGTCCGTTACTGGGTACGTTTTGCACGAAATAATCGTGAACGTAGTCGTTTAACTCTCCGACACAAAACAACCTGTTAGTGCTGAACTAGTAAACTAATTGTACAAGTTTTGTGTTACGTGATAAGCCTCTTCCTTGAGCTATCATTTGTGGCCAGGTTGCTTTTGAAAATGAGCTATATAGCTCAGCAACAGCCAAATACTATAAATGCATGTTTTTTTTTATGTCGAGGGGAAAATAACCGGTGGTCCCGAAGAAAAATCCATGCGACCACCACGGAGACAGAGAGAGACACGGAAACTCCAAGAAACAGGCATCATCAGGGTCGGGATCGAACCAACGACCTCCTGTATACCAGGCGAGGTAGTTAACATCTCCCTAGCCACCGTGGTCTCACATAGTAAACTAGTGTAGTCTGCGCTCGTGTGAATGTAGAAATCGCACAACCACACAAACTCTCTCCTGTGAGCTCTCCTGTGGCTAAGCACAACTCGGCTTTGGCGTTCAACTCCTGAACATATTTTGATGCTATGCGCAGGGATAGACATCTTTCCCACGCAGTCGCTAAACGCCGTGCAAACTTACGACAAATATTCAGCGGACGTATTAAGAAGGAAGAAAAAGCCATTAAAAGTCAACCGAAGTGATTTCCTGGCTGATATGCAGGATCAGAGGTATCGTACGTTTTGCACAAAATAATCGTGAGCGTAGTCGTAGGTTTAACTCTCTGACACAAAACAACTGGTTAGTGCTGAACTAGTATACTAATTGTTCACGTTTTGTGTTACGTGACACAAACCCCTGACTAATATTGTCTGTGTCAGGTGGTGGCGGTGGCTGATTTATAGCTACATTTATATTTTGAAGCGAAATAACCCAAAATGAAATACTTTATTACAGAAAATACTGAGGTTTTGTGACTACCATCACTCTATATATTTTTTATTAACGGTTATATTTCCCAACAACAAACAAATTATAAAAGAATCAACTCCCCTACATAGTATGGCTATTATTTGTTAAAGTAACTATTTGAATTTTTTCTTGGAGCAATCGACAGAAACGATAGCATTGTCCAGAAAAAAATAAACCTGGAAGGAACCCCTCCTGGAAAAAAACAAAAAGTGTCTGCCAGCTTAAGTCACAAAAGTGCCTTGGCGTACCTTCATTTGGAAGCAGGAGTGGCAATGCCCAATTACGATTTAGTGATATGCGACAGACATCGCAACAGCACGGTGTTGCACTTACCAACTTTGAAGATTGTTAAGAAAAGAGATGAAAATCTTTGACCAGGCGTGATGATCGATCTTCAAGCGAAGTCAGTGGACAGTCACACGGTGTATGTGTGCGCATATATATAGGATTCATTTAATGAGTGGGCGGGTGCTGCACCTTGTAAAAAAGTTAAAATGATCAAAATGGTCAAATATGAACCTTTATTTAGGTTGACAGGTAGAATCTGGGGATAGGCCAAATTTGAAATGTCAAACATGCGGGAACGTACACAGATGCGGATATATGCGTAGGGTTAGGCCATTTGAATGGTATTTCAGGAATGTGGGCTAGAGGCGTTGACGTAGTGAGTTAGCGCACCTTGCCCTACACACCCCGGAAAACCTGCGTACGATTCCCGGCTATGCTTAGTGCACGTGGAAAGTGATATCCTGATCAAGCCCACGCAAGCCGGGGGCCCTCTTGCACCGTCTCATTCTGTCGGCCGTGGGGAAGTATGGTCAAACGACCCCCCCCCCCCCGTGAACGGCATGAATCTCCGAGGCCGTCGACCAGCATTGGTTTGGGATAGTCGCGGTGGCGGGATGTTAACTCCCTCACCTGATATGCAGGAGGCCGTGGGTTCAATCGCGACCCTGGCCATGCCTGCTACTGTATATTATGAGTTTTTGTTGTTGTATATATTGTGTGATTAAAACAAATATTGCATGTAAAAATTAAATATGATCAAATAATAAAATAATAAAAAACAAATGACATTTATCTAAAATATTTGTATGTATTTTATTAAGTGTGATTAACTAAAAATGTTTGTTAAGTGTAATTAAGAATGTGTGTGTTAAACATTAATGATTAAGGTGTGTGAGTGTTCATGATTGTGATGTATGTGTGATTATGCGCGTGTTATCTCGTTGTCTATGGGTATGTTTAACCACTCGCGATAACATTTATAAATCTCGCTTTAACAATTTTGTGTGCAATGATGTCAAGTCTCGGGGTTCAGATCTCACCGCAGGATACAGTTCTTTATTACGACAATGATGCACGAGTTTAGGAAAGTAGCACTCGGAAACCTGTTTTTAATCTAAGCAACTTTAATCTCAACTTGCCCTAACATCCACCAAATCCTATCATCAGAATTCCAACAACAGTGCCCATGCAAATGTAGCGATGTCGATGGGCTGTGTACACTTACCTGCAGGGGCAGTCAGGGTCCAGCAGGGGCCGTCGTTATATCTTTAGCCCAAAAGCAGGAGGGGGCTGCGGGGTGTTCCAGGATCCCCCGGAGCCCCCTCTGGAACTCTCTGGAAGGTGGGCGGAGCTAGGGCTGACGCATGAGTGCTGGGTATAAAAGCCGGACCCCGGGAAGGATCCAGGGCCAGCCCAAGACAGAAGCCAGAAGTCCAGCTAGCTAGTAACCTGGGACGGTGGGACCCCTAGCCCCGCTGCCCTTGTAAGGGCCGGGACTCTGTGGGGCTCAGTGGTGAGACCCTGGGAACCCCCGACCCGACGTCCTTGTAAGGGCCGGGTCCGAGTGGGCCAGTGGTCGGAACCCGCACCCTGACTAGGTCGGGTTAGTGTAGCCTCCCTTAGGCCACCTGTAGCACCTTTAGCCAGGAGGCAGAGGGGCCGTTGCCCTATGTGAGACTGGGACTGTACTGCCGAGTATTGTATTGAATAAAGTGTCGCCTCCAAAGATCCGTCTCCGACGTTGCTAGAACTCACTACGCAAATATACGTACTCATCAATCTGTAATGGTTGATCAATTAAAGCATCGATAGTCAAATCTTGCGATCACGTGGTTAACCTAGTACAATAGTCAACAGCTCAAAATGGCAATATTCACACAAAATGCGTTCTCATCAAATGCGTATCAAATAGTTATAAAACGTCAACGATCTGATCTCACAATCACGTTATTAAACTAAAACAATAGGCTGTCTTATGGTAACGCGACCATACACAATTCTTTTGAATGGTGTGTGAGGCATGCAAGCTGAGATTCTTCTGGGCCCAGAACCTGTATAAAGTAGAGTGAATGTACAGTTAATGTTTCTTTTTAATTCTTCTTTCTGAACACTCCTCAAGTCCCACAACGATGTGTAATAGAACGACAGGCTGGGTCCACAAGTGTAGTGCGCTCGCGGCCCTGCTGCTCGCTGCTCCTTCGCACTCTTGTCTGTGCATCGTGTTCGATCCATGCTGGGGGGTGCTCGGGACTCCACAGTCAGCACGCTCGTGGTCAGCCGCTAGCTGCTGGGCTGCACTGTAAAAACCGAGACTGGGGTTAATTAATGTTTAGTAAATATATAAGAGTAGCCTATACATAAAAATAAAGACTATGTGTAGTTTGGAATCACATTGAGCTGAATTCAACACATTTCTATTATTTATTTATTGTATTTTACTCAGTTTTGTTCGAATAAAATCAGCCATCAATAACTAAGTAGAATTTGATTGTATTTTATCAGGATAGTCAAAGATGCAAAAAATAGAAAAATTTTACTAATCGAGAGGTTTTTGAATTTTATTACGTTACACTTCCGCCCCAACTCAAGGCATTTTTTTCGCGCCACGTGCATATCAACCATTTTCATCCACAGACACGTTTCAGGGACTGCCGTTCTCCCAAAGGTAAGATATGTTATTTTAGCGAACAATTTTTTAACAAAGTTGTGGTAGCAGTTGAACATTGTTTTACGTTTCTGCAAGTTACCAGCATGCCAATTTAACTGGCTGTAACGTATATCAGAATTAACTAGCACAATGTTAGGCCTTTCGAAGTCAGTCTGATTCGACTAAAAGCATGAGACTATAATTTTTGTTCCGCACACGAAAAAGTAACGTGCGTGATTAAAACTAGACTATATTCATTCGGATCACAGCGCGTACCAAACCAAAAGTCCTGTACCTGCCGTTACACCTCTAGTATATTATATCTTGGTGTTGATGTACGTACAGTATGCTAACGTTAGCTAGCTTGCCACCAGTCAGTTAACGTCACCTTTACGTTGTGGCTAGCTTGTTCTTGTTGTGTAGTTACTTGTCACTCACATCAGCTAACTGATGTGAGTGACAAGAAGTTGATTTGAGCATGAAAATTAGAAAATTTAAAATAATAAGGAATTATTTTGTAAATGTGATCCTATTGTCCTCATGTGATTAGAGACCTGGTGGCCTTGCATCTGATACATGGACCTTTTTCTGCCTCAGGTTTTTGCTTATGGAATGGAAGTGTAAGATCTGTAAGTCTTTGTCTGCCACAAAGGGAAATCTACTAAAGCATTACAGACTACAACACGCAACATTTGGTCGTGGGCAACCTTAGCCATGCCTATATGACAGTTGCCCTTGCATATTTCAAACGCAGAGTGCCCTTCGCACACATTTGTCCAGATACCATTCAGCTGAAGAAAGTCTACAGTCAGGAAACATCTCTGCTTTTAAGTGTTTAGTTTGCAATGCTTGTTGTTCTATAGAGAAGGACTACTTTCAGCATATTGGAAATCATCTGAAGAGCCAGGAAACTGTCTTTTGTGTATTTGAAAGATGCAACTTTCAGACAAATATATACAATACATTTCTAAAACACAAGCAAAAGACACAAATCCTATTCTTTGAGTGAGTTTAAGAAAGACGTGTATGAGAGTCGCCATAATCAGACTGTTGACCATTCTGATTTACCAGAGGCCAGTGATGGTGAGGGCACTAGTTTAGATTGTGATCAGGAAAGTGCATCATACTTAGTTCTTCAAAGAATTGGCTTACTTCTGCTGAAGCTAGAAACCATTTATAATGTCTCAGTGAAGTGCATTGATGCCTTGGTTGAAGACCTTCAGTTCATTTAATCTTCAGTTGCAGTTGTTAGAAACATACTAGATTCAACATTGAAGGTGAATAAATGCATTGTTGACCAGGCCATCGTAACTGAATTGTCAGAGCAGTTGTGCAACTTCCATCCCATTAGTACAGCACTTGGAGCAGGTGGTCCACTTGGTTCAGCTTTTAAAGGAAGAAAGTATTTTAAAGGTGCATTTCCAGTGTGTTGATAGCGTTGAATATATTATTGATACTGAAAAGAACAAGACCTTTCAATATGTGCATATTCTCCAGACTTTTCCAGAAGTCTTGAAGAATAAAGACATTGCAGAAAGAATCTTATCCATAAAATCAAATAGTACTGGATATATTAAGTCAATTCTTGATGGAAAATCCTTCAAGCAAAATGACTTTTAGGCTGGGGAAGAAACAAGACTGTCTATAATCCTTTACGTTGACGACTTTGAGGTGTGTAACCCACTAGGAATTTCGAGAAAAAAACACAAAATAACAGCTGTTTATTGGGGTTTGGCAAATGTTCCAACCAAGTTGCAATCTGCATTAACATCAATACACCTAGCTTTACTTTGCAAAGCTGTTGATGTTAAACAGTTTGAATACAGAGCAGTTTTGGAACCACTCTTGAAGGATCTTGTCATTCTAGAACAGGAAGGGATTTTCATTTCCAGTGTTGGAAAACACATTAAAGGGACTGTACATTGTATTGTAGCTGACAATCTCGGTGCACATTCGATCAGTGGACTAGTTGAAAGTTTCACGGGGCCGTACATCTGTAGATTTTGTCTTGGACATTCTTCAGAGTACCAGACACACGAAGTGTGAATCGGAGTGTTTCCACCTCGGACAAAGAAGGAACATAGTTTGCATGTGCAAACTGTGAGAGAAAATCCAAATGTTACGCATTGCTTTGGCGGAAAGCGGTCGTGTCCATTGACTGATAAATTAAATCACTTTCATTTCGAGTTTGGGTACCCACCAGATGTACTACATGACCTTGTGGAAGGCATATTCCCAAGTGAACTAGCATTGTGTTTTCAGATTTTCACCAAGAAGAAGTACTTCAGTTTGACTGAGCTTAACGAGTTAATCACACGTTTACCATATAATGACTCGGACAAAGCCAACAGCTCTCAAGCAATCCCTCAAAACTACATTCATCGCAGAACTGTAGGTGGAAATGCCCATTAAAATTGGGCTCTAATACGGTTGTTGCCACTCATTGTTGGTTCACGGGTACCTGAGGATGATTCTACCTGGCAGGTTCTTCTGATTTTAAAATACATAATTGAATTGGTGGTTGCCCCTGTTCA